TACTTACAGTACTGTGGAATGTTACAGTATTGTGATATTATTGCTGTACTTACAGTACTGTGGAATGTTACAGTATTGTGATATTATTGCTGTACTTACAGTACTGTGGAATGTTACAGTATTGCCAGCCCCCATTGTGTCCAGGTGGGTGTTCTGCTCCAGTTGATACAGTTGCTGCTTGATGCCAACCATGGAGCATGAATCAAAGAAATCTGCAGTTTTGACTGAAAAATAAATTCAAATAATTCACCGAACATTATCTTAACAAGTTGTACCGCATGTGTAATTTCTGAAGTATTAAGCGTCTTGGTTATTTAAATGCCACTTTCTTTTCAGATCTTAAGCACAAGCGATAAAATTTAAATAAACACATCATTAGGTCGCAATTTTTAACCTACAAAACATAAAAAGACAAAATAATTTGCACCTCCTCTCCCCTTCAAAAAAAAAAAAAAAAAAAGAAATTATTGTTTTAAAATTTAAAATACAACATGCTATGGAGTGCCGGATAAAAAATCCAAATTGTCAATCAAGTATCGGCTTTTTTCTAAGAATCTACCTGTACATTTCACCTGTATGCAGCGAGTTAAAGAGGCTTTATGAATATCAACCTTAATTGTCTGGACTCTAACTGATTAGTTTAGTTAGCATATCTGCTGGCTCAAATGGATTTTTGCAATAATCATCCTACACTGATCAGGGTAAGGATTCCGACGTCCATATTGGGTTCTTGAAGCCTGAAGGTTATGAGGAGGGCAATGAGTGCAAACTGATGATTTTAGCTGTCGGTTCAGGTGATTTTTGCTGAGGATTCAGCTTCAGTGACCTCAGATGTTCCTATCTCGTATGGCTTTGTTCTTGATTGTCGTTAAGGACTGCTATCCCCAACTGCCTGACTAGAATTTTCTCATATTTCACCCACAGGTGCTGGCCAGCAACCAGCACACAGAGCAGCCAGCTGCCTCTAAGGCAAATTTATTGAGAGAAAAAAATCTGTACTCATTCCCTCTTTCAGGGAATGGATGTCTGTCAGAAAATGTGTCCAAGGCCAAATGGTGAATATGTGTAAAATAGTTTTAAGTAACTCTGTTTGAAATGAGGTTTATTTTTTAAAGTGTTAAAGTGACTGCATTTAGAAATTGAAATTCCATTTTTTTTTTTTTTTTTGGGGGGGGGGGGGGTATGTTGACTGAGCTATGGGTTAAAAATTTTTTCCATAGGTATAACATTTCTTTTCCACATATATCCTTCCACCACAACTTTCTTCTTCAAACACAAAGCAGTCAATGTGTCTAAGTACAAATGTCTACAATACCAGTTGATCAATTTTAAACTGGCAATACAACATTCAAACAAACTCACAGTCAATCTTCATCACTGGTTTCTTAGTATGGTAACATTATGTAGGAAACCCAGATAGTGGTTCATCTGTTAACAAATATCAAAATATCAAAAGTTGTTTGCTTAACTGTCAAACTATGTTTGTGAACTTGTCCAAGTCACCTGAACACTACAGACAATGATGGGATAGGTTGGCAAAACAGTGTCCATTTCCTACACAGAAACCAACAGGGCGCTTTAACATCTCATTCAACAACTTCTGCCACATTTTCCACTTACTAACACTAACGATATCCCTGATCCAAATTCACTTTCTATGAATTGCATTCAGACCCCAACCAAGCAATAAACACTGCTTTAAATGTCAATATACATCTAAAATATATTGCTGTATACCAACTTTGCAATCATGTTATGCTTCACAAACTATTTCCTTTTATTCTAAGATGTTCACTAGGTAAACAAACATCATCTCCACACTGATGATTAACCCTGTCAATCCCTTGGTCTAAATACCCTGACCTTCAGATATGTTTTAATTAAATCCTAGGGGAAGGGCTATTCTCTTGCAGATGTCTGATAGTCGATCCCTATGTTGTTCTCAGAAAACTGTCTGCAGTTTCATAATAATGCAATCGGATTTTGTCTGGGAAATGATAAATTTACCTTTATATCAAATGCCTAGATTTATGACTTACTTCCAAAACGAGCACACAGAATCACACATACACGCAAACATGCATGCACTTATACACTGCCATGCGTACATGCACACAAACACAAGTGCACAATAATAGATGTTCCTTTCGTAACAAATAAATTTTGAATAAAGCAGCTGACACATAGCATATAGATCTTTCTTCACTGTTGCCCGGTATTGTCTTTGCTGTAGCACATTTATCAGAGTGGTCAAACAGCATGCATCTAGTGACAGAGAGATATGAGGATTGGGTACTTACTAAACCACGGTCTTTTTCTCCGTGTCTTCTTCTTTTTCAACATTTTGGTAGGAGTGTTGTCGCTGGAGCGAGGTGTTTTTGGCTGGCTAGGGGTTATGATGGTAAAATGACTATTTACATGGCGTTCTAGACCCGTCTGTGAAGTGAAGCGCATTCCACATCCATCCACAATGCATTTGAAAGGCTTGTCTCCGCTGTGATGCAGTATATGCCTCTCCAACCAATTGTATGAGCATGAGGGCTTATTGAACACTTTGCACCCTTCCCACAGACAAACAAATCCGTCTTTATTTCTTTGGCTTTCTACGTGTTTTTCTCGTATATGCTCCATAAGGAATCGCCCCTCCAGAGTCTGACGACACTCCTTCCATTTACACAATGTTGTGGAGGTCTGTGATTTCGACGAGCCGGGAACCTCCGCGCTGGACTCTCCTCCGCCATTTGTTCCCTGGCTGGTCTCATCCTGAGAATTGTAGAAGGTATCCTGAGAGACCTCGTTGGACACAGACGCCTCGTTGGGCCCTGATATTGCAACAGAGGTGGTGCTGGTTTTGAGACTGAGAGATGTGTTAGAGTCATCCGTTGCTGAAATCTCAGGCTGAAGTAACGGGTTACTACTGGTCCCACTTGGTGATGGTATTGTGGATGGCGGTGACAATGGCGACGATGGAGAAGACCCTGCCAGGGCAGGGGTGCCACCACATTTACATACCATCATTTGTAGAGTATGGTTATCGCTCGTTAACAGTTTGATTGGTACATCTATATCACAGCTGTCTGGGGTGGGGGGACCATTTATGACTTTCCTAAAAATGAAAATAACAAAATATTCAATTCCCAAAAAATGAAATAATGATTTTTAAAATAAAAGATATTTAACTGAACAATTTTCAAAATTGCTCTGTATTTCAATTCACATGTGTGAATGTTACTTATGATGAATATAGAACAATTTTACTGTCTTATATAAAGAATTATTGTGGAAGTGCTTATAAATATAGATCTATGGCAAATCCTACATGTAATTAGGCCAGCCATCGCCATCATTACAAGCCAAGGAGACATGCAGGCACCAAAGCAGCAATCTTAGTACTCCTGAACTGAATAGCCATCTTCCCCACGTTGCCACCATTCTTACTTATATTACCTCAAATTATTTTATTTAAATGGTTAGTCAATAAAAAACTAAACCATATCATAACGAGCTGGTCATAACTAAATTGAGGTAACAGTTACACAACAGATCACATGTTATCAAACGTCAGTACCTCATCAATGTTAGGAGATTTGTGTTGGAATTACTACAATCTTAACTAAAGACAGAAAAGGACGGAAATCAAATTATCATGGTTCATATCTCAAATCCTGGTAGAATATTTTATTCACAGAATTGCACTTTTTTTTCTCTTAGATTCAACCTAAATCTGCCCTGGTTTTCCTCGAGGCACTTTTCCTGGTCGAGAGCACTGAGTCAACAACGTAACAAATAACTTCTCTGTCAGACAAATCGCAACAAGGGAAAACACAACCTCAGTGACCCCTCCACATCCCCATTAATCTAGCTCCAACACATAAATAACACATAATTCTAGTTATTTTAAGGTAACTTCAGGACAAATGGCAGTGTTCTATACAGTGTCCTTAGACTTAGGTACATATCTTCATGTATGTTCGTGATTCACAGTCCTCAGCTCACCTCAGCATATACCAGCTTACCACTACAGATCATAAATATATTTCTGCATCCTTTCACGTTAGAAAGGGCACCAGACGTGCGGGCTTCTAGGAAAAAAATGGCAGACCCCAAAAAAGATGAGGAAAAAAAGCCACAAACAAAAATCAAAATGGAGAACACATTATCACCTTTCAAAAAATCTTCACATCAATGTTCTTCATAATGAATATATGGCAGATGAAAGAAACAGTACCAAGGGTGAAGGTTGGCTAAGTTTTACACGATCCATTGTGTAAATATCTAATGCCAGGTATTGCTCAGGTCACGGCTAGTCTTCACTGTCTGGCATTGCGCCTAAATAAATGTAAACTGTATCAATAAGGAATCTCCACCTTGGCTTTCACCCTCCGGCTACGTCCGCGGACTACTGGGGTGAAGAAATTGATTTACCCCTGAATACAATCTATCCAGCACACAAAACGCCAAGAATAGCCTGTCTGGTTGCATTTCAGGCATATACTAAAAGTGATTTAAACTTGATTTTATGGCCTAGCACTTACGATTTACGCTGTTCAGCACAATGAAGCCATCAAAACCACAAAATTAAAATGTAAGTTCGCCCTCTCACTGTTGCAGCGTGAATGTACAGCAGGTACAAATGTTACACTAAGGCAATTCCTATTGAACAATAGGTATACTGTTTTTATACAATCTGGCCCTATTGATGAAGTAGAAATTCACAAACAAACAAACTGTGTGGTGTTTAGAAATCTTGATAAAAACAATAAATCAAATGAAGTGGGCAATGACCTTGCCTTCACATTATTTCAAAGTAAAGTTTGGGTACATAGTTTTTAACCATTACTCATGCAATTTCAATCAAATAATGTTCTGCTAAAACCAGAATAAATGTTTTAAATACAGCAAAAAAATAATTATTTTTCAATATTTCCAGGATAAGTAGTTTCCAGGTTTCTGTTCACATTTCACATATTCATTCATATGAAAGGTTTTTTAAAACTGAACAAATGGTTGACACACACATACATGCGCGCATGCATGCACACACACAAACAGATGCTTAGACACACACACACACACACACACACACACACACACACACACACACACACACACACACACACGAACCTGGTTGTAAGCCTGAACTGTTACAAAACATTCTGGACATACTTGCTGGGGCCTCATTTATAAAATCAATGTTAATTTTTTTTAATCAATTCAAAAACTTATGTTCAATGAACTAAGCAATAATGTGATTTCTTTTAATCGATTCAAAAACTTATGTTCAATGAACTAAGCAATAATGTGATTTCTTTTAATCGATTCAAAAACTTATGTTCAATAAACTAAGCAATAATGTGACTTTTTTAATCAATTCAAAAACTAATGATAAATATTTCCAAAGAAAATTATCTTATGTCTTCTGCTAGCGTGAGTGTTGTGTAAGTAGTGAAATGATAAGATTTCATTTCTATGATTTCCTACTCTTGATAAACAATTACTGCTATTCATGAGAGGACTTTCAATCACATCATACTTCAAATTATTATCTAATAGCTCTTTTGTCTTTAATTTTGCCAAGGAGAAAAAAACGAAAGCTATTTACAACATCAGACTCATAACTGAAATAGCTGGCAGCACTGATATATACATCTTTCTGTTGTAAAAAAAAAAGTAAGAAAAATGGCTAGGTGACCTTACAACCAAGGGTCTGAGGTCTACATAAGGTTGGAAAAATGCCAACAAAAGATTGGATTTCCCCGATTTAAATTTAAATAGTCCAATACTTATTACATCACTTGGCCTTCAGAAACATCTTAGTTTAAACATTTTCAAATCTACCCAGTGTTATCAGCAATTAAGCTTATTATGCTTTTAAAGAGTACAAAATTCAATTTGCCCCCCATTCCTTAGCTTTAAATTAAAATGCCCCACAGATCACAAGGGTCACCTCCTGCTTTGCTGTACACATGCCCCATACACAATTATCCACCTCTACTGAAGAGATTTGACCATATTAAATATTTAGTGTACCTTATGAAACATTTATAGTATCTTATGATATTTTACATATGAAATATTTATTGCCGTTATAGTAAGTCCTTTTGAGCAAACTTTTTCAGGTTTGTTCAGTAGTTTTAAAAACATGTATTTACATACATACCTCCACAGTATAACATAAACACTACTTGTACTTACATTAGATACACTTTAAAACCAGCCAGGAATTTTGAGCAGAACTATAAAACTACATTTATGTCAGAAAATATCACAAGGCATTTTGTACGTCTAACCAGTGAGGCACCTTTGAAGACTACATAGGTTCCTTTCCCAGCTAGCAGATTCTGTTTTTATTTTCCTTTTAGCCTAAGCGAAAACTGGCATACCTCGTCAGTCTTTCCCATTGTCAGGTGTATTTGCCCACACTTTATAGCATTGATGATTTAACATTGATCTAAGGTCACCTAGGTACAGACTGGAAATACACTTTGGCTTATTATAACTATAGAAAAATCTCCATCTTTTTGTTCAGTCATTTCTGTAATAACAGTAATCTAGTACAGCTCAAATATCAACACAGTCAAAGAGTTGAGACAATGCATTTGATCAGGCTTCTTATTGATCAGTCACTGCCTTTGTCTATCAAAATAATTGAGACCTCAGGCCATAACAGGACCCAAAACATTTATTCCCTTTGTCTGCCAAAACTGGAAACCTAACTCAGGCCAAGCGGCATTCAAAAACTGTTCTCCCCTTACAAACACGTGCCTGTACATTACTAGCATCCCCGTGTGGCTGCCGAGTGTGGACGTGTACACACGCCCGGATTGTGCACAATTTGCTGCTTTGTTGACTTTGTATGCACGCTTTTCAGGTCAGACGGGGGCCCAGACGTACTGACATCACAGCTCACTGACCTGGTGATGATATATTCTAATTGCTCCAATGCCAATGCCCTGATCACTTCAGCTGCTCTATCTATCCTACCACTTCACTTCCCATATATACCTATGCTCTGATTAGTATGATAAACTGTGCAGTCAGTATTTGTGTTGTACCAACATTGTCTGCATGTTCAGTTCTTTATTTTGTGTTCAGTAAATTCATATATGCTAAATACTATGCACACTGAAAAGAAGATAGACGTTCAATGAACTTAGCAATATCATACATCTATTCACCCAGATATTGCATGAAAATAATGTACAGTTTTGATCAGCTTAGACTAATGACAGAGGCTCCTTATAATCAGAAATTCCATTGTAGCTGTTGAAGTATTGACTGTAGAGCATTGGCTTTCATCAGATCCTTTTATGACTCCAAGGTGAAGCACATTTCTCTTCAAAAAGGAAACAAATGAAGAGCTATTAATGCCACTTAAGACAACTCATTGTTAAAATGCCAGACACTGAACAGTGTCAATTTCTAGTAAACTATTACCTTTATGTAAATGAATATTTATGTCTGCTTTCTTTAATTTTTCAGTGCACAATCATACAGATAAATGTAAGTCACTACAACCGCAAACCTTACTGAAACCATCCACTTGTGTATCAAAGTAATCAGGCAAGAAATGTCTTCCCTCTAAATAGATCTTTTTCAATGTCTCAAAGACCTAGTTTAAATGTGAATTTTGTATAGGTAACTCAGAGGAACTTAAACAATTAACAGCATTTCACAGTAATATATATATATAATCTCAACATCATGAGGGTATCACATGTTTCATTAAGATGCTTTACTCTGTGGCCTTCTGCTACAGAACATAACACAAAATATTGTTTTTGCTGTGAGCAGGCACTGAAAAGAAGGACCACAAAGAGTCTGGTCATCAGCATGGAGTCTATTGTACTAATTTGTACTAATTCAACAGCAATTTGGCTGTCTACCAACCTCTACGGTCCACCTCCCCTTACCAAAGCAGTGCAGGCCAATTCATAGAACTTCAAAAAAAGGGTTATGGGTATATTTCAGATATAATAATCAATGGATTCAGTGACCTTAAACATACATACATTTAATAGTTACGTACACTGGCTTTGTCATTATGTTATTTCAGTAATGCATGTCACTAAGCTTGAAAGAGACCTTTAAATGTATAGGGTATATATGGATCAGCTTCACACTTTCTACCTCCCAGTTCTTTACATGATTTTGCCAACTGCACTTCTCTCTTCAGTGAGAGCCATTGATTCTTATTACAGTAATCTTTTAATTAAAAAATTAGTAAAAATTCTCTTTGAAATGATGTAAAAATAATTGTATGGGCATTCTGTTAAAATAAATAGTACATCCAAAAGCCTTGTCCCCTGACAAAAAGCACATTCATTCAGAAACATGAGAAAGATAAAATATGCATTGTTGGTTGTTCCTACCTGCTCTGCTGTTCATCTGAGAAAAATGCACTTTTGTAAATTCTTGTACCTGAATAATTGTGGCATTAGTGTTGGTGATGCGTTGACAAGACGACGTCTCCGCACATACTTCAGCTTGCCACAGTCAGCAGACAGCATGCAGGGGCAGAGGCAAATCATGACGTTTTCTGTGAAATTATTGAAGCTAAAAGTGTTGTGTTACAAAAGTTGGTGCTGACATTAGATGTAACCCTATGAGTCTCTTCTTTCTCTAACTATACAAATATGAGAAACATTCAAAAATAATAGTTCATGCATCATAAGATACACGGAAGGCTCCCATTTACTACTAAGGCTGTTCCATGAACAATAGGACATTATATTAAGATTTGACAAATTATTTTCACAGAAACTTGCATTCTGTATCTCCATTAATAGTGACTGGAAATAGTCACAGTAAAGAAGGGGTACACAAGCAAATGAAAATTGCTTTGCATCAAACATGGGAGAGATCATATTCTAACCTAAGAAACCTTATTATAGCACCAAGGTGATCATTTAAGATATAAATTGCATTTTGGCAAGTACGCTGCAAGCAAGTATCAAATTACCTTGGAAGCTCATGGCTTCTATGCTAACTGATCAGCCACAAATAAACTCCTGCATTAAAACACCAAACACAACATGTATACAATCATATTTCTTCCAACTAATTCCACTTTACACAGGAGAAACATCGACCTTACATAACAAATCCTCTCTATAGTCACTTCTAATAGAAAACAGTCTAAACGTTTTTTGTTACGTTAATCTATGATCTGCTTTTTCCCCCCGTTTTCCTGTTTTATGATCTCCACCTGAAGAAGGCAATTTCAGGTTTCACACAATAATTAATAATCCTGGAAACCTTCAGTGAGAAACATAATTTGGAATCTGTACTTTTTTTTGCTCGCTCCATACTTCAAGAGGATATGTTTTACAGCGACAGATAAAACCCTCACTTATGTAACTGCTGTTTTCATACATTGTATGCATACCCTTCTACTACCTACACACCGACTTTTTTCATTGCTGCCTAACTTATATGTATGGGGTCCTACAACCACAAACATACTAGTATGTAAGACTACACACATGCACATGCACAAGCATGCGCACACACACACCAGCCCTTACACAAAGGTCAAACAAATTTCTGGTTTAAGTACTTAAAGAGAATAAAATGAAAGTTCTTTTAATCAAGAATATGACTCTCTGATTTTATATATATATATATATATATATATATATATATATATATATATATATATATATATATATAATCTTGTTGACCTCTAAACTTGACCTGGTAAATTCAAACGAATGTCTTCATCTTAAAATGGAAGTAGGAAAGTTGAAAAAAAATTGTCTTTTTGATACTGATATCATCATAAAATACTGGCAACAAAAGAAAAGTTGCATTTGGCTGAGAAAAACAAGAGAGAACCCTCATAACTCGTGGAGTCCTGGCCAACAGATAAAAGTGGCACTTTTTAAATTTCATCTTGGAAAAAAAAGGCTAACAAGTAGAGAAAGAAATGGGCCTGTACTCAAATCCTCAGCATGATGGTTTAACATATACTGGTGTAACTATCAGAACATGCCAACTGGGCAAAGCCACACATCAGGTCCTTTTAACTTGCACAGCAAAAAAATTAAACCTTTCCTGATCAAAGAAAAACCTCCCGTTATGTCCCATACCTTCTTTCGAGCCTTTCCAAGTAGAAGTGCTTTGTGCACGTTATTATCAAAGTGCTTACATCTTGGTATTTCTGTGCATTTCAAGGTTTTGAAGAAGATTCCTTTTACATTGGCTTTTAATGGCTAACTCCCTTGTGAAAGGTTTAATCCTATTATAAAAGGTTAACCTATATGGTTTCAAAATGTGTAGAAAACAAGATTGTTGGAGCGCGGGAGGGGATATGATAATGTTGTCAACTGGAGAAAAAAATAATTTATCACATAAATCCTAAAAACCTACAACTTTGCAAATCAAATTTATGAAACTGGCTAAGAACTATAAGTGCCCAGCACTATACTGCACATTTGTAAGGAAGACAGGTTTTCCAGTTACCTAATTTTCACATTAAAAGTCCTACCCTGGAAGTGATAAAAACCTGACACTATTATCAGACATACCAGAAACCCAATTTCCTTCCTAAAAACCATGCTGCTGCAGGTGGAAGAGAACCTTTGAACTGCTTTGTTCCTATGAAATGTCTCAGTCTTACTACACATGACATGATGTGCAGAGCTAGATTAACCTGCTTCTATCTGATAACATATATTTACCTGCTGTAGGGTCACTCGGGGTAAGTTTAAAACACTTGACCCGTTTCATTGTGAAACTTTATAGCAATCAATTAAAAACAAAAACACTGGTTTACCTTCCTGTTTGACAGGTCAGTGCGCCTTGAACCCATCCTAATTTTTTAGGCTAATGATCAAATTAAACTACAATTAACCTCCAGTTAAAACTGTAAGAATTATTCTAACAGTAACAGGAAACAAGTATACTCTGCAGCTTATCGGCAATCAAAACGTTAAGTGACAAAATCCACCCACTATCTTATTATTCAACAAGACCAGTCTGATGTATTTCACTTACTGGCAGTAACGATCTTTTTCCAATATACAAAATGAATTTGAATAATGACTGTGTGAGAAGCAGAGACAATGCATAAAGTGCTGACTGTTGTTCAATATCTTCAATAATTCATAGATAAAGTCTGGTACCTATGCTTAAAATACACTATTCATCTGTATTTTCGGCAAACCTAATATTTTAGCAGGAAGATAAATCTTATTTCTCTTTGTTATACACACTGCCCTTATTGGCCTTTCTTTACCAGGAATGACACCAGAGATGAATTAAAATGAAAAGAGTAGGAACGCTAACCACAAATGAACAGGTCCTTTTCACTTATATAAAAAATGCTTCAGGCTTTCTTATTCTAATGGGGAAGATGGTTATTAACACTTAAAAATGTGAATTGTTTTTGTTCACATTCTTCAATCTCAACAAAAATTAACTTAAAAAATTAATAAAAACTTCAAACTTAGCTGAACACATAACATAATGTATGAAATTAATGAAACAGAAAAATCACCCAGGTAATCACACATATCTGGCCCCTTTTTTTGTAAAAACTAATCTCAGCCAACTTATCTTGTCCTTGTTACAAGTTTAAAAAATAACCAACTCAAAAAAATGGTCGTTTTTGCCGNCTTCAATCTCAACAAAAAATTAACTTAAAAAATTAATAAAAACTTCAAACTTAGCTGAACACATAACATAATGTATGAAATTAATGAAACAGAAAAATCACCCAGGTAATCACACATATCTGGCCCCTTTTTTGTAAAAACTAATCTCAGCCAACTTATCTTGTCCTTGTTACAAGTTTAAAAAATAACCAACTCAAAAAATGGTCGTTTTTGCCGGTAATGGTCAACAGCTTTGTATTTAAGTCGTCTCTACTGTAGCCAGCAATCCGTACAGTGTTAATCCTGCCAGGGGCACCACGCATTGCACGCAACCAGCTTTCTGCAGTTCAAATCTATTATTTACACACCACCTCGCACAGCATACCAACTGAAGAAAAAATTACCTAATAAATTTTAACGAAATCTGCCAATCGAGAAAACTAAGCCCTTGTGTACTATGCTAGAAACTTACTCTATAGTTTCTTCTGTTTTATCAGCCTGAGATTGCCTCCTTTTTCTCTTCCCTTCAAGAGCTATACAATTTCTTCGTACGCGAGATCGAAGTGTTGGTATGGAAGGTTTTGTGAGTTTTGAGAGGCCCCCATTAACACGAACTAACTCCTCAGTTTTATCCAGGTTACATTCCACCGATTTCGTTGCCTTTTCGCCACGATGGTAACCAGTATGAAATCCATTCCTCTTGCACATTTGGGCGATGGCATGCACATGGTTAGTGTAATCAGCATCGTTTTTCCTTCCCCTATTGTCCTCCACGCTCTCCTCCTGGCTCGCCATCTCGGCCTGCAGTCTACGTCACGAAATCCCGAGCACTTGCTCTGACGTCATCGCTAAGTGAGGGATTTCCCAGACGGGGTGATTCACAAATCTTGTCTTATTTTTTTGTGTTTTTGTTTAAGGATGACCTGTTCGCGACCGCAGAAGAAATAAGATAACATCGCAGGTTTGTATAGTTCTGCTGTTAGTTGTGTCGTGTTTAAGGCGGTGCGTAAATGTTATGCGCGAAATGAAACACGCTTCCGTGCTTTCAAATCCATCTAACTTCTAAGACGGAGGCGGCGTACGCTTGCACTCCAAGGAAAAGGGCAGACATAGCCAGCGGCTGTGTTAGGGGTGATTAGGGTTAGCGACTTCTAGAAGTGCTTCTTTAGCTAAAGAGGGCAGGGATAAGTGTGAACCATATGTTGGTGTTCACGGTTGGATGCTTAGGGTGCAGTTGGTGAACTGGATAACAAGGGATGCATTAGAACACGTTCTTGTAGTGCAAGTCGTTTTGAACAAGCTTTAAGACCTAGACCTGCGTGAAAACCTGCATCAAAAATAACATCAGTTTGCAAAATGTGAAAAGATCTTAAAATTGAGGAGAATATTACTTATTACCCATTACCTATAGACCTGCTTGGCTGCACCGCAGGTACATGTAAAATGACCTCTCCATAACCATCATTATAGTTATTTAGCCCCACCATTTTCAATAGCTGAAGGTGTGTATATATTATTTCTTTATTGCAGAGATGCATCAAAGGACTAGTGCCCCAGCTCAGGATGACCAGGACGCTGGTGACCAGGTACAGCACAGGAGACGACAACAGCCAGAGTGGTTTGAACACAGGCAGTTCCAGTACAATGGACGGCTGGTGCTGCCCTTCCTACCTGGACTGGTCATCATGGTTTATCTGGGCGGTGAAGTGTAAGAGCTTTTTAAACATATTTCTTTGCCTGTCTGGGTAAGGTCCATGAAGGTCAATCTGTGAAATGATGTGAATATTTACAAGATTTACCTGTATGAACTTCACCATATATGGACTGTTGATTTTATTATCAAGCAATGTCTGTGACATCATAGACAACGCAATTAAAATTATTGTTTTTTGATTCCTCAAACCTCATTTGGTAATGTATATGTAAACAATTTTTTGTGACAAATGACAATTCAAAAAAGGATAAATATTATGGATTGTGAATAATGATAATTTAGTAGTGTACCTGCATAGTCTCGTTTATGGATAACACATTTGTAAAATAGAGCTATATTCATAGCCCTGCAAATAATTCCGTTCTTTATTGTTTATTTATTTATTTGTTTGTTTGTTTGATTGTTTTAGCTAGAGGCAATATCCCAAATTCTTGTCTTTATATGTTTTTTAATTTAATTTCAGATTGCTTGGTATAGCTTCTGTGGGTGCATGTCTAATTCACATTCTTGATAGTGTTGGACAGAAAAGAAAGTAAGTGACACATTGTGGAATTGATGAAAAGCTGCCAGGAACCAGCAGTATTTACCTGGCTGGATTCAGAGCCACCATTGTTTAGCTGGCTGGACTGTTTCTTAAGTCACTTTAAAGAGAAAACTATATTTTTGACTGGATGGAGCAATAATAGAAAGGAATACAAGTTATATCAATGTCTGATTTTTGCTAACATTTAAAAGGTTGACATCGGCTGCATTGGCAACCAGTTGATCCCTGGAATTACTAGTCCGCTGATCAGATATGCCCGCATTTGACAATGGATTCCCACCTCCCACATGCTGTCCCAGCAGGGACTGAGCAATTAAATCTCAATTAAATCTGAGCAATTAAATCTCAGTGGGTTGTGCCATATTTTATACACAAACTAGTAAGTCCCTGGATCAACTGGTTTTGAATGTACCCATTATGAGTACTGAGAGCATTCAAGTTGTAAATGAATTACAATCTCTAAGGCTTCGTTCACATGCAATGTCTATTTTCTAAATTCTATTTTCTATTTGCGCTATCTTATGATCACGGTCAGTGCCCTGAATATCCCGCCGCGTAATTACTGGCAGCGCGAGCCAGTTACTTATAGTAACGTATAGTAACTGGCTCGCGCTGCCAGTAATTACGCCGCGGGATATTCAGTGCACAGACCGTGATCATAAGACATACCGCAAATAGAAAATAGAATTTAGAAAATAGACATTGCATGTGAACGAAGCCTAATTATCTTCCCAAATATTCTATGGTTGTATGCTCTCATTTCTAGTGCCCTCATTGCCTATGTTCTGACATTTGTCTGCTGCCAGATGACCATCTTCTACTCTGCTGTTCCCCTGGTCTGGTAAAGTCTGCTGGGCAGAAATAATTCATGTCAATTACTAGGGCTGTGCTGGAATATTTTATTATTTTTTGTACCCTCTGAACATTTTTGGCAAAATTAAAAGTATTGTCAGGGTAAATAAAATTTTGCCAACTTCAAAGACACAAGGTATTTTGGCAGAAATGTGTAATTAGCATCAGCTCGAGAATTATAAATTAGAACGGGGGATGAAATAATTTATACATTTCATTATGGACATGGGGCACTCTATTACAAAGTGATGAATATACTAATGTAATTTTTCATTAAAAGTGTATCATTCAAAAGAACTGTTGCTTTATATAAAAATTCACTGTATACTTGAATTGAGGTATTTATTCATTTAAAAGTCTTCCCTAAAACCATTTTATCCAAACCAACTGTCTTACATATAGCAAGAGTGGATGTACTTTACTTTCATGTTTTTATTTTCAGGCATTCTTTTTTCAATGTGTGTATCATCTCAGCCCTGAACATGCATGCTGTCATGACTGGAGGCTGGATTCTGCTGCAGTTTGATATTTTAATAGCAGAAGAACCAGAGTTGGCTAAGGTGAATATGAGAAACACTGTTAAATGGGCAATACTTAAATATCACAATCAGTCACCAACACTCCTGAACAAACACATAGACATGTGTCTGCACACACGCACACATACACATGCACACACACACACACACACACACACACACACACACACACACACACACACACACACACACACACACACACACGTCAAAATTAAAAAAGAATGTGCCACACCTGAACTTTCCATTAAAAAATTGGTTATGATATGGTCAGTATTCTCTTTTACCTTAGCACTCTGATTTTATTACTAATGCAAAATGATTATTAATCAGGAGGGAGGGATGCCTTGAGCAATACTCAGATATGTGTGTGTGTGTGTGTGTATATATATATATATATATATATATATATATATATATATATATACGTTTACATGTCATGATGTCAGTTGATATACATTACATTTTCAGATCATCGAAATATTCCTGTTTACTGTGTATCCTTTTGTGTCAACAGTTTTATTAACATGGATGACAGCCACCATGATAGAGATAAGCATTGCACCAATTTGTTTCTGTATCATAGGGTAGGTTATACTTGATTATAAAGAATGAAAGTCAGTGTAGAATACAGCATGAAGAATAAATAGTGTAAAATCATATCTTATATCATATTGCACAGTTATGAAATTGTAGTTATTCATATAAAGATTGATAACAACAACCAAAAAAAAAGATGCTTAGAGAAAGAACATTTGAAATTTGATCATAGGCTCTGTTTTCAGTTTCATATTACTGCAACCATTCATGGTACCAACACGGTCCTCTTTTACCAAGGATACCACTGCCAGGGACCCCAAGGGGCAGGTGCTAGAGCCTGAGACAGTTGCTCTTGTCTTGCTTGCTTACTTGACTACGCCACCTATGGTGCAAGTGGCTATCACTGCCTGGGAAGATAGATGGAGCCTTCTTCACCTCCAAAATATTGTAAATATGATGGCTTAAAACAGTTATTAATGGAATATTTGTCAGGAAATATTGTTGATTTGAAGCAGTCATTTCTGTAATGAGACAAGAACCAATCCAACTAGTTTGTTTTTTAATAAACAACAACAATTTATATTGATTTTTTTTCTAATTTTTCTTATATGAAGTGTTTCAGTGTCTTTTTTTCAGATTTGTCTCATATTCCTAGTTTTCCTGAGTTTATTTCTTGGAACATTTCTCAGTATCAAGCAGGTCTTAGATTATGCAGGTAATATACATCTACATGTGTATACATGTTCCGAACAGTTATGTGTAGAAAGACTGTAATTAAAAATTGATTTTAAAAAGTTAAAAGGAAGATAAAATTTTTATTAGATTTTCTTTGCACATTTGTGTGTGTAAACACTTTTGTAATTTCCCACGAATTTTGAGAAAATTATTTGCTGAATAATTGTGTTTTGTTGTGGCGTAAACGGGAGTCACCTTGAACAACTTGCCAAGCTATCAGGTTGAACTTTGGAGGATTAACTGACACCATTCCTATATTAAGTGGTGTTGACCTGGCATGATTATTAAGTTTGGCAGAAATATATCACTTTTGGAAGATAAATAATTATTAGGGAAATGCATTGGCCACATCTTAGATCCATTATCCAAGGGAACACTAATAGTAATATATCTCTTAGATTTTATTTTTTTAATATATATATATATATGTATTTTAATAAGATTGATTTTTAGTAGTGTAAATTTTAAATGGTTTCCAATGAGAGTTTAAAATTAAAATATTGTCATTTTAATGATTTTAGTATATTAGCCATTATTGTAAGGCACCTTGAGATAGAATGTAAGGCGCCATATAAGAATCTTATTACTATTATTATTATTATTAATTGTAATATTGGCCATTTAAAATAACTAACAAACAATAAATCTTTTCTTTCTTAGGAATACAAGAAGTTCAGTTAGGAAGATTGAGGTGGTTTTCACTGGGTGTGGTACTGACCTTGTTAAACAATGTCCTTGGCAGATATGAGATGTCGTCTTATCTGTTGCCATGGTTACCAGTTGGCATTGGGCTTCATGCTGTATTTGCAATAACTTTACAAAGGAGAAAACATCTGGTATGCAAAAGGCAAAAGTATCAGTTGAGCATTCTGACAAACATAAGTATTTTCTTTTTAGTTTTTTTTTCTAACTTGAGTTTTTAAGGTCAAAAGAAACAAACTGAATATTTTAATATTCTATTTTATTGCCTGATATAATTATTATTTTGTCATTGTAGCCTCTGTCATGGCTGGTGTTTGGGTGTCTCCTGTTCTACTATGCAGTCATATTTTATCTTATGCCATGGAGGCTTGTGTATCCTTTGTGTTTGTTTGTGTGTGTGTATTGATTTGTGCTTTAAATAAGTGTATTCTTGTTTGTGTGTCTTGATCATTTAATAAAGACAAAAATATTCCAGATTAATCTGTATGTCTCAATATATGGGTAATTTATGTCTTTTCCCACAAACCCTATAGGCTACAGGCTATTGGTGCTTATGTCTGAAGGACTTTTTTTTCAAGTAGTCCACTTTCATCTTTAAATGAACAAATAGCATACCAGTCCTTGACTGACCAACAGCTACTATCTGCCCCGGGTAGGTCTCCACATTGACCTGGCCCTCTTGCTGGTTCTGTTGTCCATCGCCTTTACTCTTCTGACCACTCTGGCTGCAGTTGGGGACATTTTCGGACTGGTCATCATTTTGTGTGCTTCAGGTAATGTAATCTCTGCTCTGTTTTAATTGAAAACATTTGTATGAGTCTGTTTTAAAATGTGTGGGGTGAGGGAGGGGAGTGGAGGTCTTATCTCTCCACCTATTGAAAACACATCAAGAATCATCATAAATCAAGTTTTCTGGAATCTCAGCTGTTGATATTTTTGTATTGTTATTCCGTTGATGTAAATTCAGTTTTATATAGTCCATAATATATATATATATATATCCCTGTGTGTGGTTCCAGTGTTTGTGATGTGTGAAGTGGTGCTGCAGGCAGGACATCTCTACAGTGCACCGTTGTTAGCTGTCTCGGGGTTTTTGGCTTCATATGCTGTGATCAAGTAAGTCGACTACGTTATTATGTTCTTTGCCATGTGATTATTATTATTATTATTATTATTATTATTATTATTATTATTATTATTATTATCTTTACCAAAGCACATCTGTGATTATATATTGAGTCTGGATGAGGTATAGTTTCAGTTGAAAATTGGAGGGGGAAAAAAGCCATGTTAAATATCATAATTCAGGAGCTGTTAACCTGTCCTACCATTCCAGGTTGTACCATGCAGGGAAGATAGCCTGGTTTGTGGCCTGGCTGGTGGTGTCCATTCAGTTTGTGAAGGTGCCCAGTGTCACCCACCTGTACAGAGTGACCAGTGAGTGGACCCTGATGATGTCTGTACAGGAGAGGATAGGAGTTCTGCTGACTGCTTTAGTTGTCACCAAAATACACCTGTTTGAGAAAAGAAAGCAATTATCAATGAATGTGGTAGGTTTATGTGGAAAATGAAGAATAGGTGTGTTAGGATTGGTGTTTCAATTCAAGGCTTGGTTCATTCAGTGTTTACAAAAAAGAGGTTCTTAGTTCTCATTTTGAAAAGAAGTTATTTTCATTGCTCTCTCTTGCAGTCATGAGTGTAATCCCATTTTAAGCTTCTGTCAAAACAGTCCTAATACAGAGTAAGATCTTACTAAGTGTCTTCCAAACAGACACTTGTGTACAAATTGCATGCAATATTTTGTAATTATTTCCCAAAAAGCATTTAAGCTGAAATCGGAGCTTTCACTAGTGTTTTCATAGCTAACATATTTGGCCTCTGTTTTCAGGTGCTGGCATATTTTATCAGCACAGGATTGGCAGTAGCACTCAACGTGCAGCCTTTCCTGCAACCACTGCTGCACTCTATAGTCCAGGAAGAGCCAGACATACTGGATGTACTGGGTAAGACACACTGACATGTTTTAAAATGTCTATGTTTTGACTCAGCCTGCTTTGGTAGCTATAAATTTCAACATTTTTTTGTTTGTGTGTGTGTGACAGTGCATGAATTTTACAATAAACCTCTAATACTGACTTTTCTAGGTACTGTCTTCCTGCTGTGGGGGTTACTGCTGCTGAAGCTGACCATGTTCCATACAGTCAGTGCTCCAGTGTTGAGACACCTGGCTCCTGCCCTCCTCCTCATGGGGATTGCTGTACTGGACAGTCCTTGGTAAGTGTCTCCTGCCCTCCTCTTCATGGGGATTGCTGTACTGGACAGTCCTTGGTAGGTGTCTTCTGCCCTCCTCCTCCTCCTCCTCATGGGGATTGCTGTACTGGACAGCCCTTGGTAAATGTCTCCTGCCCTCCTCCTCCTCCTCATGGGGATTGCTGTACTGGACAGTCCTTGGTAAGTGTGGCGTGCCCTCCTCCTCCTCCTCCTCATGGGGATTGCTGTACTGGACAGTCCTTGGTCAGTATTTTCTCCTCCTCCTCCTCCTCCTCATGGGGATCGCTGTACTTGACAGTCCTTGGTATGTGTCTCCTCTTCATTTAGTCTTTAACGAAGAACGCTCAGTGACGCTTTTACTAACGTACTCACTTATGACTTGTTTACAAACTCCTTGACCTTTTTTGGGATGCTACCTCTTGAACACAAACCCCCCCCCCCCCCCCCCAACTTTTTCATATGCTTTACTCATATGGTAAGCAGATTTTGTCTTACAATTTTTATCAAAATTGCTAGGACAGAAATGGTGTTTCTGAACTGAGAGAGAGCCTCCTTAAGTTCTATCCTGTACACATGTTCAGATACTTAATTTCATTTATAGGATGCTTGGGTTGGTGGTTAGTCTGTATGTCACAGTGATTGCAGTGTCACAAAAATGGACGTCCAGATCTGCCCTCCTCAGGGCCATCTTAGCCATTTGTGTAGGCATACCCGTGGGGATGCTGGTGGTGCTGTATGTAAGTATTTGGAGGGGAAATTGTTGTATTACTGTTGGATCTTGTAACGACTTATTTATTTGTAAGATTGAAAAATACATGTATGCTTTTGTATAACTGAAAACTAATTGATTGAAAAACTGGGGAAAAACATCCTAGTCTATGGTACTGTATAGTATTGGCAGGAAATATCATCAAGAAAGATCACAACAGGCAATTTTAATTCTGTTTTTTAGTTCACTGAGGAGTCAGTTGTTGGTCCTGGCATCTGGCTGGCAACCTGCGCACTCTCCTTCCTGGTCACATTTTCCTTCCTCACAGTGTACGAGAGCAACAAGAACTGTGACATGATCTTGACATATTGGTCAGTATTTAGTTGTGAGATTAAAGCATGTGTTCATGTATGTTTTCTATAGCTTTTTTGGTATCATCATATTTGCTTCATTTTTTTAAATCATGGGATTTTATTTTGAAAGTCCTCATCAAGGGATAAACCTCTCAAATTGTTTTCCAGTTGGGTTTTGATAACTATATTGGATGTGGTACTCTTGGCTCTGGATGCCAGTGTCTGGGGTTTGAAGGGACTTGGTGAAGGTTCAGCACTCCACATATCATCCTTCACTTGGACTGGAACAGCAGCAGTGTTTAAATTACATGCCACAAAGAACAAGGTCAGTTCTTACTTCATACAACATTCCTTACGGTTTATTCCCAATGAAAGTATTGTTCTATGTAGATTGATCCAACTCTGCCAATGAGATTAATATACCACAGTCTGTCCACAGACCATCTAAAATGAATCAAAGATTTAACAAAAAAATTGCTATCTCTTTAAATATCAATTAGGTTCAAATAACTATTCAGATTGTACTGTTAAGCTTATAATATTATCTTTCAAGCTGTATCACAAATAGCTATTCATGGCCACTGGTTTAATAAAATGCAAGTAGTTTCTGCTATCACATGATTAAAGTTTTGCTGAATTCACATGCTGAAGTCGCATATTTTCAGAGCCCAGATTTGTTATCGGGAGCAGTGTCAGGCCCTCCTTGGGTGCCACTGTTTGGAAACTTGGCAACATTGGCATCATTTATCAGCCTTTGTTTGGCTTCTGACCCAGAAAACATGGATGGATGGGTAAGATATTTAGCGTTTTGACACAAATGGCCACTTTCAGATTATATCAGTTTTTTGTTTAATACTTCAGTAGCTACTACCACTAGTCAAAACCAGGCTTCATCACAGTTAAAAGCAAAATATTTAATTGCAATCAGCTATATAAAATTATTGCATAATTTCTCTCATTTCAGATACTGGGTTGCTCAGCAGTTTTTCTTCTTCTCCAAAATGATGGCATTTGTATCTCTTCTCTCCATCATTCTAACCAGAAAGTTCCAACAGTTTGCACAGCAGCAGTATATATCCTAGCTCAAACGGTCTGGGCCAGCAATATTTGGTTACCTAAAAAAACATTCCTCAGGACACTACAGGGGGCGCTAGAGTCAGCAATACTGCTCTTAACTTTACCAGTGCTTCTTGCCTATTGCACCACAGCTTGGTCGGGGAAGAAGCTATTTTCTAATAAACTCATTGCCTTTCTGCTACCACTGTTCTCTCTTTTGATACTGTTTGGGAGTAGCTTTTACAGTACTGTTTACTCAGGTATAGGCCTGCTTATGGGAGGATGGGTTTTAACAATTAAGACGTGATAAAAAAAATAAAGGAAAATTTCTGACAAATGCTGTTATTGTTTATCTGTTGCATAGTTACCAACATAAAAACACTATATATGTAGGCCTATTTTGCACAATCAAATAACAAATGAAAATAATGGGAACTGATGCTAGAAAAATCATAGAACTTCCACATATTTGCACAATTAACAGTCCTGCTGCTTTACTTTTTATTATCTTTCCCAAACCAATATCCAGATAATACTACTTAGTATAAATGCTTGTCTTTAAAGAAAGTGGTGCTGGGAAGAATGGAATAGCCTAATATTAATACTTTTACACTTTGATTTTAAAAACCTAGAAAGAGAGGCTAAGGAGAAAAGAGCACAAATAATGAAATGGTTGAACTAGGGTAATGAGTATCTTTATACAAAAAATTATTCATTCAGAATGCTTTGCAATTTTTTTTCCTTCAAGTGCGTTGGAAAGTTTTGTCTCTTTAGACTGTACAAATCTTCAATTTCACTTGCTTTAGTGTTAGATTCTTTGTTACAAATTGTTAAAGGAAGTGTTCAAAAGACTTGAATAAGCCATCTAAATGACAAGCATTGAGATCATCCAGAATAAAAAAATTAACCAACATTCTTTGAACTTGTATATATTTATTATTTATAAAATAACCATGTACAACTTGTCTAGGCAACAACCTTTTACTGTACACTAAACCAGAGAAAAAAAGCAAGAGGATGTCTCATCAAACCAACGACCAAGGAATCAACACATGGCGACAGATGGCAAACAATAGCGCACCAATTAATAGGGATAACGTAATAACTTACTTGGTTACATAAATCTTTGCTGCACACAGTTTATATGACAAAATGCAGGCTATTGGCATCTGTGCAGCTGATCAAATGAATCTGCAGGCAGTTTCTAAACTACGCTATAATATTGGTAGTAAGAAACAGTAAAACATACTTAGCTGTAGCATCATATTACTTTGGACGTACAACCTTAATTTTTCTGTACATTTTATTTGATACTTTTAACACAGTATACAGCTGAGTTTCCTATCTTAACCTATACTTTCACTACAGTTTAACTTTCAGGTTAGTTAAATACGACATGTCTCAGATGTAGTGCATGCGAAAAGGCAATTTACTTCAGAGGGAAAGTATTTTTTAAAACTCCAACTGTTGTGTACAAAGCTGGTTTCATTTACATATTCCATGTAAATGAGTTAACGGAAATCACAGCTTCAAGTGCAGTGTACTATTCAGTGTAGAGTTCTGACAACATTCCCACCAATTAACAGAAACGTGCCAGCTGTCACTGTTCATTTCAATTATTGTTTACAACAATCTAAAACATTTGATCTAGGAAAATAGTCCACCAAACAGTACTTTGTTACTGCTTCATAATTCAAGGCTAACAAAAAACCCTTGCTGGCCCTCATGATTTCAAAGAGAGGCCTTTCTTCGGATAAGTCATCACAATTTAGCAAACAGTTCAAAGGGCCCCAGACCTCTGTTATAATTTCCTGCCTGGTGGTGTGCAATTGAAAAACGCCAATCAAGACCTTACTACTGTATTTGCACAGTACAATCAGACAGGACAGAAATAATACATGAAGCTTTTCTTTCCTCTTTATCCTGAAGAACAACACCCTCCTCCACTACTTTGGTGTTGCTGTGCATCGTCATCCACTATTACTACATTTTTTCGACTGGTTGACTGTCGTCCGCCGCCTCCTACACTGTTTCTTGGATTTTCATCACCTGCTTTGTCTAGCATTCCTGAAATGTATGACATTCAATAAAATTATGGCATTCAGTCAAGCTCTCCTAATACTTCATTCAATGAATACCACTCGTATGTAATAGAAATCAGACAGAATAGCTACAAGACTAGAAAATGTATAAGAATCTGCAAAGTTGATTTATTCTTTTAGTGATAAGAGTGAAAATATTATGTGCAGGAAAAGACAGCTTACAAAGCAATACAAAATTTACATTGAAAGCATGATGCAAACATAGTGTTGTGCAAGAGAGCATTATTCTACACAGCTACAAAAAATATCTGTGAGTAAATGCTTTCATGTTTCATTCCTTGCAAAACTGCACTCGCAAGTCTGCCTTCGTTTCTGACCCCACTCTTCTCCAAAAAATGCAAAATCTATCTTGATTTTATCCTAAGTTGCAAGACTTTGGGTTATCTCAAATGATACCAAATGACAAAATGTTAATAACTTTGACAAATGTTGGAGTCTTACATGGAAAAAAACTTACAAACATGAATAATATAAAGGTAGGCTACTTGACAAAATCTTGCAGACCAGATGCCAAAATGGAATTATCTAAATTTTTCAGAATACTGAATACCAAAAAATGTTATGTGACCATAGCGACATATGCTTTAATCATTTTTATTGTTTTTTTTCAGTGAAATGTGAGTACTTTCTCTTGGTAGGTATGTCAAATAATAAATTACCACCCTGGCATATATTGCTCATATAATATCTTGCATATACTACTTACTTTTGCTAACATCTAAGAACATCTCTTCAATCCCTCTGTTGAGCTTTGCTGATGTGTGGAAATGCTTCGCTCCAACTGAAGCTGCATATCTGACAAGTACATTAGATTAAAACCAAAAGTTAAGCTTCACTTGCTTGTCTGGTATGTAGTTAGCATAACTGAAAGATTAGCAGTTTCAATTCACGAGACAACACTTAAAACATACCAAGAAGGGTTGCCAGTCTAATTATTTATTACATAAATATCATACTGCTATGTCAAGAGACAAAATGATACCAAATCCATTCAAAATTCACCAGCACATGTACTCACTCTTCTGCATCTGCTACCGGGACGTGTCTGTCTTTCTCTAAGTCAGTTTTGTTCCCAGCTATACATAAACAGATATCTTGACCTAACATTTTTCTTAGTTCTTTGACCCAATTTTTTACCTAAAGGATAAAGTAATAAATGGTTTTGTATACATTATTCTTATTTGTTCCAAGTCATAAAATATCGATAAGCCATATGAATATACCATTTGCCTGGCCTGTTGAAAGATTTAACCACAAAATTACTTTCCGTAAAATATACCACCAGCATAACTTTGCTCATTCTAATGCGACTAGACTGTATCCAATATTTACAGATCCTGTAACAGATCCTTAACAATGAAACATCTTTGTGGATAAGCTGGGCTCTCTCTTGGATAGAACTTTGACAGGACAAATAAGCTGGATAGTCTTAGCCAATCACATGTTAAACCAAATCACAGAAAATATTGACAAAAATGCTAAGGTACTTAATATTATTTTGTGTCAAATAACAGCATGTTTGCCATCTGCCTATCAATTATCATGTGAGACGACAGGATGATCTTTTTTGACTGACACACAAAACAGCACTTAATCTTACTTTCTGAAAAGAATCTTCATCTGTTATATCATAGACTAAAATAGCACCATTACTGTCTCTGTAGTAGATAGGGCCTAATGCATGGAATCGCTCCTGGCCTGCTGTGTCCTGAAATATACATCATAAATATCTACATTAGGCAATCGTTTCACTTAATTATTACTATTAACAGATCAAGAAGTGGAGGAAAATAAATAAGCCATTCATGTATTTACATACCCTTTCACAAAATATGAATTTAATATTGAAATATGCTTCCCAAAAAGCTTTATAAATTGACTAGGCATAATTAAAATGAAAGAGTTGTAAAATCAGTGCAATGACAAAGTCACCTTTCACAGACTTCCATATAGAGCCCACACCAGGCTTTCAGCTAAGATTTTTGTCCCACAAAATAGTTGTGAGTTTTAATATAGATCAAAATAAAGCACTTATGTAAGGGTGTGAACACCTGATGCACAGTATCACCTAGGCACAGAGACAAGCATCTATTTTTATTTAACTGTCTAAGGGAAAATAAGAATGTCTCCTGTCAAAATGCAGCTCCAACCATCTGGGGTTAAGCCTAAAGTATGTTATGTTTCATATTCCCTGCTAATTATTCATTTATTGGCCTCGGTTTCACTCTACAAAACTATTTTGTGACTGGCTAAGGATGGGTGAATACCATATAATGTAGTTCAAAGCCTAGTTTGGTTCTCGTGATATCCTGTTATGGATACAAAGGAAATTGACAATGTGACAAAAATGTCCGCACCATGTGGGTGCTCGTTTTTTGGGGGGGTTATAGACTTGATGCTATGTTTCTTTACTGCCTATGCGCAGTTCTCTGTGTAGAAAAATAACATTGTCAAACATGAAATACTTCGATAGTGCACAGTAGGGCATAAAAGAGAAAACAAAGTGAGGAAGGGTAATGGAATGATTGGAATTAGTTTAGTGAAAAGTGGAAAGAAGTGAAGGCTTGGCAGTCTTACAACCCAGAAGAGTGGAAATGTTCTACAGCACTGTATGTCAGGAGTTAGACAGTGATGACCAACAGCAACAGAAATCTAACTCTTCTTTTACCGGTTCTGACGTCCTCTGTTCAAGACCACAAGCGGGCAAAAGTGCAAATGAGGGCTCAGTTTCTTTATTATCAAAAAGAAAACAAAAGACGAAAGAATTCAGTTTCAGGGCTGATTTTGTCTGACAGATCTTGTTTCTTTCTGACAGAATTTTCAAGCTTGTAAGACCACAGGTCTGACAGTTTTTTTTTTTTTTGCCTTTCGTGCAGTCTGTTTGAACATTGCTTCTCACACAGGATTTCATATTCACAGTGAGTGGGTTCCATCATAGAGGCTAGGAGGTCCCCAGTTATCAGTTTAAACCATGACACCTGTTGGAGTGAAATTATTCCTCTGCCCTTCACACAATTCAGTATATAATGTTCTTATGCTTCTACTATTTTTTTCAAGCAGTATGAAAAAGATACTGATAGGGGTAATTAATGATATGGAAAGATAAAACATTGTTGTCTGTGGAGAAGCAATATTGGCTTAAGTGGCTAAAATAATGTTGAAATGTGACTGGAAAATGAAAACTGACCCACAAAATGCATTTTTGTTTGTAAGGAAAACTCACCCATATTGCTAGATGAACTCTTTTGCCACCAATATTCAATTTTTTGTCTAGAAAAGATGCCTGAAATAAAAAGGAAAGCCAGGAAGTTAAGAAACTGCCACCATGCCAACTCTTGTTATAACATAACTTGGAAGTTGTACACGTGTTTAAATGGTCTCTTGTTGATTCTACTGATAGGCCACCACATAGGTGACACTGTTGTTCACCATTCTACTCTTTTCATGTTATCCTAATGACAATTACTGGTAAATGTAAATAAGTTGTCTTCACTGTTTACATAACGAAATTCTACATCAAAGTGACAGTATAAGAAGACCAAAAACAACATGAAGATAAGACATGAAAACGTCAGTAAAAGGTGATACTAGGTGATAGCACAGCCGCAGAATGTTACCTGTAGTGTCGTCAGATGTTTGTCGTTAAATTTATTTTCCACATATCTCAAAACCAATGACGTTTTTCCAACACATCCTTCACCCAAGAGAACGACTTTAAAATTATGATTCCGTCCTCCGCCTCCTCCCGCAGCTGACATGGTAGTTTATATTGTCCCTTTGAACTATTGAATATATCCTGATTGTATTTGTGCTTATCACTGGACACTAGGGTTTATTATTTCACTTTATCTATAAAAAGTCGGTGGTTCCTGGTTCTGCAACATCTAACATGGCGATTCCTGGTTTTGACGTCATCATCACATGAGCACCTGCATATCGCTTAAAACAATAAAAAAGTCTCAATTGAAATCAATCATTTAGTTCGTTCAGAGACTTCTTTGCAGAGCTGATAAATTTTGATGTTGTCTAATATATGATATTTCTTAAAGATAAAATTTTATTTTTGGATACCTTTTAAAGAAATTGATTATGATTCGAACTATTTTTGAGCATCTGAAGCGACAAAATATCACGTCATGTCAACATGGATGATCAAAAACAGGTTGGGTTATCTGTGGTATTTAATGCGTCACGTAGTGTGTGGCTAATTAAGTTGTTATATGTATTAAATTGCTTACACGCGAGAAAGGTAGTTGTCGAATGATGGATTATTTTATTTTAAATTCAAAAGCTTAAACCTGTCTATAAACTAGCATGATATATATTACCATTAACAGGTTATACTGTACTCGTATTTTATTTTCACTTCTCAGTTTGCTTAATTACCGTTTGCTTGCGTATGTGATGGTGATTCAGCTTAACGTGGAAAACACTCAATTGTTTATATTGGTCTTACTTTGTCATCCACTTCAGGTGTAAATCTGATCAGTATTAAATACAGTTGTCAAGGTCGGATCACATACTTAAACTTTCAAAATGGCAAGCGGTGGAAAGAAAGAAGCCGCAGTAAAGAAACGTGGATACATAGGAAATTCTGTGAACTGGATGACAAAGAAGATCCAAAATCGGGCCACCCACAATCTTTCCAGGGGAAATATGAAATCAGGACCCAGGGTAAAAAAATGTGTAGTTTCATCTATGTTGTCTTGCCCTGTTCTGTTCCTAGAGGGCATTTCCAGAGATTTAGATCGACCTAACTCCCTGGGGTTCACGCTAAAAATTGCAGTCAGCCGACCACACATGGAAGTTAATTACCCCCTTACAGCTTGTAGTAGGTGGGACGGACATTTAAGCCCGATTATCTGACAGTAATCTAGTGAGACTCTCCATGGGGATAGATCGATCTAAAATCTATGGGAATGCACCCTTAATGTGATGGTTAGGGTTCTTAGGTACAGGAGTGGTAATGTGGAGAGATTCTTCATATCATATGCTGGAATCAAAATGTTAAAAAAGTTTTGAAGGTCAATACACACGGCAATTATTGGCATTATAAACATTAACTGGAAGAATATATCCTTCACTATATATATATAGTATGATTTAAAAAAGAATATTTCTTTATGATTTGAGGTGCATTCCTGTACCATGTAGCTGTATTTAGTCTTTATAGTCCTTGATAGTGTAGTGTGTGCTTACCTGCAGAAGTTAACTTTTAAATGAATATCTTCCAATGGGACATTACTTGTCCTCCTGCTTGAAGAATTAATTACTTTGTGTCAGACTTCTCAAAAGGAAGGACATATTTTACAATGCAATTATTGTTTTTGTTGGAGAAAAAAGTTTGATTTTTTATAGTTATGTATTCATGTATTTAAATTATGCTGGAATGTGTCTGCGTAAAAAAGATTAATACCATAGATTGAATTATAAAGCTAAACAATATTTTTTCATGATACTTTTTATGGTTGGTTTTAATTCATTGACAAACCTAACACATACCTTTTGCATATAGCTGTGTTTTTAGACATCATTTGCTTTTATACTATTTATAATCGCTTTCATTTTGGTCTTTTATTAATATATTAAAATTTTTTTTCATGATTTTAATGGCACATGGAATGGACTTTTTAATCAGAATAGCTTTACTACTGTTTTCTGTTTTCTGAGCTTGCTAATGATGCTGGTGTGTGCTTTAATGCCACACGCACAGGTTTACATTATTTTCACTGAAGTGGGCTTAAATATGATTTGTTAATTCTTTCAGGTGATTTACCAGAAAGATGGGGTATACATCCACACCATTGTCCACAATGAAGATGAAGATGCCTTGATTGAGGGACAAGTGGAGATCCTGGAAAAGGTGAGTTCAGATATCACATTTGGCAGTTCTGTGAATAATAAGTATTTGTTTTTCTATTCACTATTTCTGTGTCATTCAGATTAGATTTATTCAGAAATGATGTGTAAAATGTGAGGGCCATGTGTAAGATAAGTGTGTGCACTTACCCTCTTTAAATAAAGATTTATTATTATTATTATTATTATTATTATTATTATTATTATTATTATTATTATTATTATGCTAATTGTGTTGTGTCCCCCCAGCCCCAGGGTGTATTCATTGAGTGGAGATCTGTAGCAGATATGGCAGCAGAGTATGCTGTGAACCCCAAACATGAGCAGGACTCCTGGGCCGTCATTGATGCCGTCGGATACAGGAATGAGAGCCAGGGATCTGAGACAGGTGATTTGAGTGGAGAAGGTTGACAGTCTAAAATGGGCCTTTATTTATTTTATATAGTTATTTATTTTTTGTAAAATTTTGTTTCTATTAGATATATTGATATTTAATGTAATAATTATTTATTTTAAACTTTTATGAAGCAGGCCCTCTGTCTGTCCTTTTAGACATCATTCTAAATCATCAAATCTCGAAAATTATGTGTTGAAAGTAAACTTTCTCTACCCATTTTCTTTGAAGGGTCTGCAACTATTCAGACAAGAAGACCCAAGCAGATTATCAGTTTTGATATTAAAGATTTAAAGAGCTTCAAGCGGTCAAAGCAGAGTTTGGGATGGTCATACATAATCTTTATCCAGAAAGATGGGACGACACATCCAGCATTGCACTTCCACAAAGGTGGCAGTCGAGAAATGATAAATTCCATGGAGAGGTTTTTGTCAGTTCAGAGGTAACTCTCATACCTCAATGTTCAAATTTGTAAAGCTTTTTGTGCCTCTCATGTATCTTAGACTTAAGTGTATCTTAGACATTTTAGTAAAACTTTTCAAGATCTGAGGGGAATTACTATTTGTTAAGACAAATTCTAGCATATATTGAATAAGGTAATGGGCATGGTTAGTTTATGATATAGGGCTGCCAAAATTGAATATATGTTCATGCTCAAATGCCTCTTCATATAAATTTTAAAGTACAAAGTTGACTGCTGACACACTGATATCCTATGGTGTGAGTCTCTTGGGAAATATGTTAGATTTGAAACCCTTCAGATTTTTTCTTGATAATTTACTTGTTTTATATCATATATATCTTGTTAAATCAGAATTTTATTTTCCTTGTCAGGTCTCCAAACACGCCTGGTCTCTTTTTGGTACATGAGCATGACCCTGGAGCACTTTCAAGGTCATTTGATGAGCTACAGCTCTTCAAAGAAACTTCACAAGATTTGGTGTCTGTAAGTAATAAGTCATTTTCACTTAATCATATTTCATTAAGGAGAAGATCTTTAGGTAAGGCAAGTGATGCATTTAAAATATATAATTAAGTAGGAATTAATATTTTTGTATTTCAAACTTTTTCAGAAATTTGTCAAAGATCCCTATTCAACAACGCTGACAGGGTTTTCCAAAGTAACCAAGTTTTTAGGCGAGGTCCTGATGACCACAGATACTCCACCTGTACGCCCCTCAGAGGAGGTGGCGGACATTTTACATGAAGCCATCCCCGGTATCACCATCAATGCACAGGATGAGCCAGGATTTGATATTGTCAGCAAAGTAAGAGTTGTACTTATAATGATAATATTTTTGCATGTTTTATATTTTTTGTCACTGTTTGTTACACCTGATTGTGAAAGTTTTTCTAGGTATGAAAGAATGTGGAATTAAAGTCGGCAAGGTTCAGTGAAAAGATTTTTCAAATCTAAAATAGATCTGGCAGTGGTTTCCACCAGGTGGTTTTATTTTCAGCTTTTGACCAGTTTGTAGACCAGAAGAAATAATGAAATCATCATGCAAATATTATTTCTCACCTGTTTCACTGCTTTTATCAATTCATGAACATCAGTTGGAAAAGATATCTCTGTTTTTGATTTCAGTGTGAGCTTGCTGAGCGTCCTGATGTCGTGAGGTCATCCCCCTTGTCCAGACTGCAGTGGGAGAAGAACATGGATAGTGAGGGCAGGATACAGAATGTGGATGAACTACAGGAGATCATATTTAGAGGGGTAGGTTTGTGCTTAAACCACATCCAGCTGGGACTTGACAAATTATCCTTACTGGCCATAGATGTTACTGTGTTAGGGATCATCCATTTTTGTCATCATTTTCACAAGTCTATAAACCATATGCTGGATGAGAGTTAAGGCCCACTGCACACTTTTGCAAAAAAAAAAAAAGATGATCCAAATTGCTGTCAAAGTTTATCATTTTGAGCTTTTCATTTTGTTCTCTGAAGGGGGGGGGTCTGGAGAAAGTCTACTCTTTGTTGTAGATCATTTGTGAAAATGATCATGATAAAAATGACCCCTTATTAAAATAATACAGCTTATTCTGCCTTGACCAGTTTTATCTAACAGACACATAAGACTGTGAAATGCACTCTACACTGACCAATGCATAGTGTGTATTCTTAAGATATTCAACTTTATGCTGCATACAGTTTGTGTTCGTTAATAAGGTTCCAGGGCAGTATAAACAGCTAAAGTAAGATTTTCAGTACTTATACAACCTTGGTCCAACTGTTTAAATTTAGTTTCAAAGGTAGAAAGAGTAAAATTTTATTTATTTTTATTTTATTTATTTATTTATTTTTATGTAGGGAATAGAGCCTAACCTGAGGAGAGAAGTGTGGAAATTTCAGCTCCAATACTATGACTGGAATTCAACATCAAAACAGAGAGAAGAGGTCAGGAAAAAGAAAGTGTAAGTTAAACCAAATAAAAGAAATAATTCCAACTAAAATGCTCTATTGTATTGGTATAGTTAGTATGTAAAATAATACATTTTCTATCTGTGTTCGGAGCCAATGAAATATTTTGCTTACTTCATACTTTAATTCATTGTTTTAATTGTATCTCTTATGTATCTTTTAGTGATGACTACTTTAGAATGAAACTTCAGTGGAAGTCAGTCACAGAGGATCAGAAGATGAGATTTTCAGTTTTAAGAGACCGTGAAAGTCTCATAGGTAAGTGTTGCCTAAAGCAGGCAGAACTTAACTCTATGTGCAACCCTTTTTTCTTGCTCCATTAGTTATTATGAAGATCTGTATCATCATGTATTACAGCCCTTTTACACACTATTACTAGAACTTGAGTAGAAATATTAAACAAGTAATATAAAATAGGATTGAGAAATTACACAAAACAGGTGTTCAGGTGTTATGCAGATGAAACCATCTATTACAGTTAACTTTCATCAAGAAAGTGCATGTTTATTTTCATTTTCACAGATAAAGATGTGACCAGAACAGACCGTACCCAGACGTACTTCATGGGGGACCCAAACCCCAAACTGGAACTGTTAAATGACATTCTGATGACATACTGCATGTACAACTTTGATTTGGGTAAGCAAAAGACATAGATTGCCTTTGACCCTCTGGTAATTTATTTATTTATTTATTTATTTATTTATTTATTTATTTATTTATTTATTTATTGGAAGCAATGAATCATTTATCTTACAACACAGTTAACATAATACAATATTAAAATTACAAAAAAAAAACTTGACTAAATTACAAATATTTCACAAGGATATAAGATGTACCATTTTTCTTTGAGTTAACAGCACCATCCTTGCTAAACTCACCAAGTACATATAATTCAAAGAAATAATTTGGGTATAGCCTAGTTTTGTGTTTGATATACTTGTTCCTGCCCCAGGCTATGTGCAAGGTATGAGTGATCTTCTGGCCCCCATTCTCGTCATCATGGATAATGAAGTGGATGCATTCTGGTGCTTTGCTGGTTTTATGGAAATAGTGGTAAGTGAGGATTTATACTAAGTTAGTGTAGGTTTTCATGTGAATTGAGTTAATTAAGTTTTTGGCTAACAAGCCAGACTCCTCGCCTTAATATATTGATTTTGTATTTGCATTCCTTTCTTTGATTTCATCTGCTGAGTTATTATTTCTTTCTCTCTAGGCACGCAACTTTGAAATGGACCAAAAAGGAATGAAAGACCAACTGCAGCAGCTGAACACATTAATGCAGTTACTGGATCCTCAACTTTACAATTACTTAGGTTAGTTTTTTATTTTTTTATTATTATTTATTTATTTAGTCTAAAATCCATATAAAATGTTCAGTAGACTTTACATGGGTAAAATGAACAGAATAAGATGAATAAAGTCAATAAATGAAAAGGTAGTTAAAATATTCAGATATTAAGATGTGAAATAAAATGTAAATGAATTGATGGACAGTTACGATTTTAAGATATTAAAAGAAATAATACAATGTAACAGATAACAGCCATTCAAATCAATTATAAAACTTTTTGAAGATATGAAGGGGCCCGCACACGGTGAGCATTTGGCGCGCGCCACTTGCGCTGCGCCGTTTTCTCATCGTGTGCGGGGGTATTTTGGTGAGATTTTTGTCTCACGCGCGGCTGAGCAAAATTTCTCACGTGTTTGATTTTTTTGGTCTCTTGAGGCAAATGTCTCAGCGTGTGCGGGGTGCAAGCGCCGATTGCTCACGCCATGCTAACAATGCGCATGTGCCAGTAGCCGGAAACAAACAAAAATGGCAGCCCCCAGCGAAGTCAACAAAAATGTACACAGTTATAGTTAGTCTGATTGATTAACGTGGTCACCATTATCCATTACTATCAGAAAAAACAACAATATGTAATGTTTCCTTAAACACATGATTCCACAGTTCACAGTGCGTCCGCTAGGGGCAGGCCGGGAGGCACCTCTGCTGAGCAAAGAGCGCATCGTTTGCGGGAAGCTGAGGAGCGCGAGCATCTGGCGCAGCGCAAGTGGCGCGCGCCGAATGCTCACCGTGTGCGGGCCCCTTGAGTTTTTAATTCTTTAAATTGATACTTTGTTTATTTTTCAGAGAGCCATGAATCCAGCAACATGTACTTCTGCTTCCGATGGCTGCTGATTTTGTTCAAGAGAGAGTTTACTTTCCCAGACATTATGAGATTATGGGAGGTTAGTAATCCAGGGGATATTTATAGTAAGACCTTTGATCATACTCTGAAACTTAATTTACAATGTTTAAATAAAAAAACTGCACAGCAGCTTGTGAATGAAAGTCTCTTTCAGCATGGAGGATTTGTTTTTCTAACTTTTCTGTTCTACTTCTTGTTATTTTTGCAGGTGCTATGGACAGGCCTTCCATGTAAGAACTTTCACCTGTTGTTGTGTGCATCCATCCTGGACACCGAAAAATCCATCATGTTTGACAATAATTTTGGTTTCACAGAAATTCTCAAAGTAAGTACTCTGTAGATTTGATTACAATTCTGCTTCACTTCACTGTACAGAACAGACCGTACCCTGTTACGCTAGTTAATGGAGCACACTTTTGGGTTAAAAGAGAAAAAAAATTCCAAAAATGGAACTGGTTCCTAAAATAGAACTGGAAACTGATTTATGTGGTTCTGTTTTCTAAAACGGAATTGAGAACAAGTGGATTTGGCAAAAGAAATATGGTTGTTGCCAAAATTTGCTCACTGTTCAGTGCCATCAACAGATTTTAACAATCAAATCACCGCAGATTCAAAACTGAATGTGGAAATGGTGGAATCAAATGCATTCTCCCACTCACAAATCTGTTTGATATTGAATGTAAAGTGATACCAGAAAAAGTGTAAAATTTTACTTTGTTAAATTTAGCATCTTGTCAGCCAGATAACATATTGTTGACATCAAAAGTGATATATTATACCTTTCTGTTTTTCAGCATATTAATGACATATCTTACACAATTGAGCTAGAACCAATGTTAACCAAAGCAGAGGGCATCTACCTCCAGTTAGCCAACACCACAAAGCTTCCTGGGCCTATCAAAGAAATCTTAGGTTTTGACTTCGACCGGAAGGGGAGTGGGGATTCCTCCAAAACCAGCACCCCAGTGGAAGGCTACAGCACCCCTGCTTCTACACCTGAACACTCCACGCCAGTGATGAGTTTACCGTTAAAAGACAGTAGAGTGGGCAATGGTGGTCATATGGGCAGTAGTAGTGCATCCCAGGAGACAGGACCTACAACCCCTGATGACAGTAGCATAGAGATCTTACCTGACCCTCACAATGTGTTTGAGTAGTCTCTGCTGCATTGCATATTAACCAAGGAAAGCTTTAGATGAGGATATTTTGTTTATTAGAATTGGAGTTCTCTAGCATAATCATTGTGCACAACCAAAAGTGGATGTTGATTCAAAACTGATAATTCCAAATATTTATTAAAATTAAGTATGATATAAAAATATTTGAATTAAGAAATTATGAAAAAATATTGTTTGTCTTACAAGTTTATAATGTTTTTGTTAGTTGACTGTTTAATATATATATTCACAAAATATTTAACTTCTTTTATTTATAAAGAGCTGGTTAAAGTAGTGTAGGATCTGGCCTGTCTTGGGCTATCAAAACTTTGACATGAAAATGTGTAGACAAATCCTTTTTCTTTCCAAATTTAAATAAACCTTATTAACATGAAATTGAGGGTCACTGCTCAAGGTAAAGTGTAAGCAATTCTTTTCTCTCTCATCAAAATCCGTCACTTTCACCTTCAGATGATGGACTATGGTTATTCTTCATAATTGATGTATAGCCTTTTTGGGTTGGATCTAATTTCAGCAAGACTAGAATTATCCCTATAATCGTGCTGTGGTGTTGCCTACATTTTCAAGTTTTTTTTTCAAAATAAGTGCCATTTTTGTCCTGAAATTGTAACTGCCAGGTCAGTGAAGATAATGTATATGATGCTAATGTAAAGGATTGGATTTATGATCTTGCCGATTAAAACCAACATATGCTATTCTCATTTGTAAATATATTTCCAGCACGATAATAGTCTCTGTATCTATTTGGAGGCAAGTGCATTAACAATTAGCATACATACATCAGGCTTTTAGAAAAGCTGCATACGTATTTTAATTGTTATCAGCCATGTTTAAATATTAAAGATTGATTTGATCAGAATATGTAGTTGCATTTTTATGTACAGACACAGATGTGTCTGTACATATTGCCATCACCTGCGTCTGTCGTCGCCGATGGCGATGCCGATGGCGATGCCGATGGCGATGCCGATGGCGATGNGGTCATTATGCTGTTAACCATTATGTAATATGGCATCAGAATAGAAGAAAACACAATTTTGGGTGCTGCTGCCATGATGACCATTATGGGAATACCATGTTACTTATGATTGCCAAACTTTCAAAAAAGAAAAAGAAAAAAAGAAATACAGGACTAAAATGCAGAGTTGGAAAAGCAGTCTAATTGGCTTCTTTTTCTGGAAGTTATACATTTTCAAAGTGTGAACTTGTTACACATTTTACTTACATTGGTATTACCTGTTGAGCATAATTAAAATTTGATGTTGAATTTGCAGTTTAACATAATGTACTTTTGCATCAGAATTGACAGTAGCCTATTTTGTGCATAGTTATTTCCTGTTTTTTGTCTGTACATTTGACAGCTTTGCTGCCTTGTTACAAAGAAAGTTTCCGCTTGCATACATTTGAGCTCCTGTGTATCGCATAGTGCGGTTTTTTATATTGTATTTTTGTCCGTCTTCCTGTTTAAGGAGATACAGGTTGTTTGAACACGTGTCAGTTTTTGTTAAAACAGTAGACAACCTTTCTCAATTGTTGATTTCAATTTTGATTTAAATAGTAGACGACCTTTCCTAGTATCAACTGTCAGATAACACCCTTTGTTACCCGTTGCTAACAAACGGCAGAACTTTTATCAATAACTTGCTTTACTTCCTTAAGTTATGAACACCGTGATCAGATCGTTGAGAAAGTGACGTTATGCTGCACGATATAAATTTCAAAATCCCAAGGTGTCTTCTTATTTTTATGTATTTTTCGTTCAGAGAACAAAAACGATGGGATAATTGGAAATGTTTCTTTTTAAGTGTAACTTTTAGTTTTGGTTCTACTTTTAGTTACAGTGTAGCACAGTCATCCATGTCACCAACGACCCGATGTTCTGTCCCCTTATAATAACTTGAGCACGTGACTGCTGCTTTTTTTTTTCAACACACGGATGTGTTTCGATATTGTAATGAAAAAAGTATGAACAAGCAACATTACAGTTCAGTTTTTTTTTAATTGACATCAGCCACTTGAGGTCAATGTTAATTAATTTTCAACGTGTCCTGTGGACTGGGAGCTAGTCCTTTGGGTTTCTACATCCATCGTCTGCACGAAAAAAAGGAGTTTGATTGATTGCACTCAGGTTATAATCGTATCTTTTCTCATAAAACTTCCCCTTATTTCATAAGAATACAGATATCTCTCCTGATGACAACTAACCTTTTCAGATGAGCACCATTACCAGTATTTTATGCACAGGGCTATTCCTAGTGGACCTGTAGACATCGCAATTAGTTCCTTGCGATCAAGTTTCCAGTCCTGAGCACTCGTTATTACGTACGGCATCAATTTTCTTCTCTGGGTGCTATTTCACACTCGCTAATCTTGCTAATGGAGCTCAGGAAAGGAGATGTTGAGCATTATTGGTTGTAATATATATGTTCTTGTCTTTCATATGCATACTAAATTGGTTTCTTAATTTTCATCGACAGGCGTATAATTTTTGTGTACCCTGTGGTTTTCCTTCTAATCTGACGTACTCGCATACGGCGTCTGTAGTGATGTGTAAAAAGTGGTGCCTTCATACAGCGTTATATTAACACCCCATTTCCATAGATTTTTAGATCGACCTATCCCTCACTAGATTACTGTCAGCTTGGCCGGCTTAAGCGTCTGTCCCGCTTACTAAAAGCTGTAAGGGGGTAATTAACTATGGTGCCCGCTCGGCTGACTGCAATTTAGCGTGAACCCCCAGGGAGTTAGGTCGATCTAAAACTTAATCTTTAGATCGATCTAAATCTCTGGGAAAGCAGAGTCACATTATTAAAGCGTAGATTACATTTACACGGGCGCCGTGTGATGAAATTGTCCGTACGTTTTTTTTTTTTTTTTTAATTCGTAAGGAGATACGGGCTACGCCGAGTGTGTCTACATTACATGGCCTTAAATCTACCAACGCTCAGACGCCGTACGAAAAGGGTATTACGGGCAGTATACGTGCACCGTACGGGCATCGCATTTCAAATGTAATCTAGGCTTAAATATTCTACAGATGGCATTTGTGTATTTCCAGTTAGTATGAATTTATTCAATGATCCCAAATGAATCATTTGACCACATTTGTCCTATCTGTTATGTACATCAAGACAACCTGTACATCAAGACAACCCATTTACCACTGCGTTTTTCGCCAAGTCCGTAAAATGTGCCTAGTGTATCTCATTTACTTTCATTATCCACTGAGCTGATCAAGTATTTCTGTGCCGCTATGAACACCGTGTAAGGAGCATGGACAAAGTACCTGATATATATACAGTTAGACAAAGATTTGAACAATACAAACATAAAGATTTGAACAGCAGAGCTCTCTTTGAATACAAACAGAAACTGGGGTGTGAATACCCCCCTCTCTTCCATTGAAAATCAACTAGCTCAGAGTTGCAAAATTTGCCTGGAAACATTGGGTATTGGTAAAAAATCCATGTTTATTGTTGGTGTTGCAATTAATATCATTATTTCGATCTTATCTAGTTAGACGCTTACTATTCTTACTATTGCTGTTTTCACTCGCGTCTCTGAAGATGATGACAATGATAATTTTTTTCTAAAAAGGTCGCACTACGCATGGAAATATTGGGAAATGGACCATTTAATTCCAGATTTTGGTTTTTAACGTGGTCTTTTTCCAACCACTTTCTTTGATTTTCGTTTATTTTAATTGTTAAGGTGGTAAATATGTTATCATCGGAATTGCTACTGAACTCCATATGTAAGCCTGACTGGGGAGATAAGTAAGCAACTAAATGAGATGCAAAAATGATATTTGATTATAAATGTGCGGTTTAGAAATCCACACTTCATTGTCACATTGGCATTGCTCCACTTCAAATATGTCAGAAAAGCAATTCTGTGGAATTTTCACTTGGGACTGATAAAAAGAAACTTGGCTTGGCTCTGATAAACCTTTATTTTCAAAATTTCACACTAAACAATAGTTAACTTAAAAGAAATAGCAACGTATAAACAGTATGTTGTATGTACATGTGCTTGAATATGTAAATTCCATTGCATGACTTTTTAACAAGTAGGCCTACGCAAATGCTTATTTTACCTTGGAACAACGCTAGACCAAAATGGCATATAGAAATATGTTTTTTTTTTCACAAATCAACTCCAACAGTTTTAATATTCAAAATTCCACGTAGCTAATAGTCTCTAACTCTGCTCCTGAGTAGGTAGGGCTCCTTCAAATATAGGTCCACTTCCGGATTAAGTTTGTGGATTACAAATTCCAAATTACATGGCATATATCTACAAATTGAACTTACTTGTGTCGTCAAGTATGGTAATCTCAAACTACGACAACTTAACTCTAAAGAGCGTTCTATCTTTTGAATTATCTAATTTCTACAAACTACTGAAATGCGTTAAAATTTTATAAGAGTCGTACCTTAGAAAAAGATTATTTCAGCGTTTAAATGTTAGATGTTAAATGCTACAGCAAAGTGCAAAACAGTTCTCTTACCCTACATCCGTTCTGTTCCGCAACCATCTTTACTTGCAGTTACAATATCACAAAAGACTACCGAATATTAACTATAAATAACAACAAAATAAGTCTCGTCTTCTTGGGGTGCTGTGTTTTAATTTCTGAGAGTTTAACATGCACCCCGGACTCTGTGGTTACAATATTAAATAAAAAAGTCTTTAATGACTGTCAAAAATATCAGTGGATATTATATCACACCTAACAAGTTTGGTACATATGCCTACCACAACTTAAAAACCGTGAATCAAATGACAGGCTATAGAGCTAAACGAATGTGTGTGTGTGTGTGTGTGTGTGTGCGCGTGTGTGCGCGCGCGCGCGTGTGTGTGTGTGTGTGTGTGTGCGTGTGTGTGTGCGCGCGTGTGTGTGTGTGTGCGTGAATGTTGGAGGGGAGGGGGAGGGCAGATCTTTTTTCTTATTGAGAGGTACCAAAACACGCCGTCCCACATGAGATGATGGTGGCAGAACGCCGTACTTTTAATGTCATTACCCGAGGCATGTCATATGTTCGCAGTATGTGATTGCCCAGGAGTCACTTCAATCTACACACAATCAGAAAGAATTATACTTTCTTCCATGCGCTTCAAGCCAAGGTGTCACTTTTGACCGGCGCTCATTTCCAAATAGCTGAAGGGATTTTTTAAATTATA